AGACATCAATATTTCATATTTCTAAACTCAGTTTTTCCCCCTCTTAATTTTTCTGGTGTAGTGCAAATAGGTTTTATAATACTTTTGTGGTTTCCTTTATTAGAAAAACATAGTGATGCGTACTGTTGAGCTAAATGACAATATTACAGGTCATAAAAAAGATTTAGTATTTGAACCTTTGCACTATTCAATCTCCTAAAGCCATTCTCAGCGAGGATCAATTTCAATTATGCTTTCACTGCTTACATAATGGAGGTAGTGGGGGCTGTCTCAAACCCTGACTGGGGAGCAGAGAGGGCGTAGGCCCTGAGGGAAGGCACACCTTTGCCCTGCACTCAGCTCTGGCCTGCAGCTTTGCTTCATCTATGGAGGTGGTTAATTATGGTCCTTCCTTTATGTGACCAGAGTCATTATTGACAGCTGTGTTCCAAATCCAGCTTGCATATTTAATAAGGTGTCCATGGGCAAATGGACATCTTATTACAATTTTAATAAGGGGAATCCTGGGCAAATGGGAAGTCCTGTGGTCTGAGTGTTTGTGTCTCCCCTAAAATTCATATATTGAAATCCTAAGCTCCCAGGTGATGGTATTTGAAGGTGGAGCCTTTGGGAAGTGATTTGGTCATAGTGGCTAGAGATGGAGCCTCATTAATGGGATTAGTGCCCTTGTAAATGATACCCCAGACAGCTGCCTCACCCTGTCTGCCACAGGAGATGACCACACACTGGGTCTGTAGGGCTCCTTGATCTCAGACTTCCCAGCCTCCAGACTGGGAGAAATAAATATCTGTTGTTGAGGCCTCCCAGCCTATGGTATTTTTGTTATAGCAGCTCAAGCTAAGGCAGGTAGCAAAAGGAAAACCAGGCTTTTGTTTAATCAGCAGCAGGGAGTCAGTGTTCCAAGTTTAGTTAAATAACTAAATGCAGAATCTCATTCTCCCATAGGGTACAATCAGCACAAAGCCCAGCTCTTTCCTCTGCCATTGACCTGGAGCTGTCCCGTCTGATTATATGCTGGGAGAGGACAGATTACCCGAACTTGTCAATGATTCACTTAGCATTTCATCTCCCGTGTCCAGGGGACACATTAAAGGCCCTCCATCTGTGCAAATACTCCCCCAGACTTGGCCCCTCCCCTTCCTCATTTTGCTAAGGATGGAAGCCCATTCTGCTTCTAAAGCAAGTTTCCATCATCTTCAAATCATGATATACTTGGAATAGAATCCATACCCTTTTGCCCAGCCCCCCACGTGGAATGTGGTCTCCACCGCCCTTCCTGGGCTGGGCTCAACTGCCACAGTTTCCTCTCAGTTTTCTCAGCACACCTCGATCTTGGCCCCACAGGACCTTTGCATAAGCCCTTTGGTCCACCTGAAACACCTACCCAACTCTGCAGGACTCCCTCCTCCTTCGAAAGTCTCAGTGTGAGTCAGCTTTCCTCCTCAGCAACCAAAGCACCGTCCCTCACACCGCCTTACCCGCCATTGGCTTGCTAGTGTCCTCCTTACCACCCAATTCCATTCTCATATTTTAGGCACATTTGCAAACCAAGGAAGGTGTGGTTCCTAAGAGAGAGACTTTAAATCACAAATATTTATGTTCCTGTTTTTTCTGCCTACAGAGCTGTGACTACATGAGTAGAAGGGGCTCTGAGGTGATGCTTTAAATGCCGCTGACCATTGCTGAGGAGGGAAGCACCCTCTGAGGTCACCACTGATAGAGCTAGGGACAAACGCATCTTAGGAAAGCAGAGAAGCTGGGCCAGGTCAGGCCTGGGAGCCACTGTCCCATGAGGCAGGGGCAACATTCTTCCAGAAAACAATTCCAGTCCTGGGACAGATTTGAAGCTGCAAATTCTATACTGCAGATAGAACTGTGATCATTTTATTCTGAATAACTTAGTGGGTGTCACCATGAGCATAAAAACATTTCACCAAATATACACACACAGTCTTAGGATTGGAGCAGTGTCATTTCCTGGAAGGTTTTCTGGGATAAGCTTCATCTGTAGGTAACCAGAAGTTTACTTGCTGTGGTGAGTTGTTAGCTAAAGCCGGTCATACATCAGGGCCCAGCTACCAGACGGGAGCATCTTGGTTTTGGAGTGTTTGATCCCATACCGCTTTTTGAGACAGTAATCAGTAACAGGAAATTGTCACCGGCTGACTGATAATCCCCCCCACATACAAACACAAATAGCCCAGCCTTCCTGTGTACCCTTGCTTATCACAGCTAGGAAGTACTTTTCATCTCCATTTCATAACTTGATTACTCTGTGCCTCCCCAAACAGAGAATCAGCTTTTTGAAGCCAGAGATTTTGACTGTCGCTCTCATTGTGACCTATCCAGCAACTGCAGCAGTGCCGGCACATAGAAGACTCGAGTTGCATTTGCTGCATGAATAAACGCGTGAACACGTTGGTATAGAAGAACGCCACTTTGATGGGATGCATGACTTTCAAGGTTTTCTTTCTGTTCATGTGACATGAGGTTTGTAATTAAGACACAGATTTAAGCCGGGTGTAGTGGCTCGCGCCCGTAATCCCAGCACTTTGGGAGGCCGAGGTCGGTGGATCACTTGAGGTCAGGAGTTTAAGACCAGCCTGACCAACATAGTGAAACTCCATCTCTACTAAAAATACAAAAGTTAGATGGGCCCAGGTGCATTTCTGTAATCCCAGCTCCTCGGGAAGCTAAGAATCACTTGAACCTGGGAGGTGGAGGTTGCAGTGAGCCGAGATCACATTACTACACTCCAGCCTGGGCAATAGATCAAGACTCCGTCTCACACACACACACACACACACACACACACACACACACACACAGGCACAGACTTAAAGTCCTGATGACCAGAATACAGCTTGGTTTCACTCACTGGAAATTATCTGATCTGCAAGATCCTCGCAACCCCTGAGCATTTTCTACAGGCATGGGAGGACACTGAATCTCTAAAATCACTTGCAAAGTTTTGTTGCAGCAGAGCTGAGAGCTGGGGCCAGCATGCCTGTTGTGTCCCTCCGTAAGGATCCTGACCATGCATTTGAGCACACTCCATGAAGGGGGCAGGTGGCTGGCCGGGCTGCTGTATGTACCAAGCATGTGTTCTAAATTACAGTTCATTTTCCACAGTCCCAGGAAACTCCCTTCACCCAACCATAGTCTGCAGTCTTGATTCATGTTCTTAATTAAAAAATGCTATTGATAACCTTTTGCAATTTCTGCCTCAGTCTCCTAGGAAACGTACAAAACAGAAAATCACATACCTTCAAAGCTCTGGAGCCTTATAAGCAATGATTTCTCATTTCATTCTTTCTCTTAATCAACTGAATTAATTGTATACTCATATTCAATTGGATATGATGACTAGGCAGACTTCAAGTATAACCATCCGTTGCCTTGCTTAATGCCATAATGTTTGGATTTTTTTCAAAGAGAGGAAAAGCTCCCTTGGCTTCTATTACAGCATCCATATTTTGTGCCCATTTTAATTTTTTCTCCTGTCTTTTTTCTCTCTCTTTGAGCAATATCAGTATCATTTCTCTTTGGTAAATTTTAAATCACCATTTAATTTCCAATAGAAAAAATGTTTGAGTTACACCTAAATAATCTCCAACCTCAAACACACTGTGAGCACACCAGCGAGTCCAAACTTTATACCAGAGGACAGATTAGTTCAGAATACCCCCAATTCCCTTTCCCAGGTTCCTGATTAATTGATTTCGGTGACTTTAATTTAGTCACTGTTCAGACAGACCCTCAGTCTGAACTCAGCATGGGCAGGGTAGACAATCAAACTTAAAAATTCAAGTTAAAATTCTCATTTCTGAGCTTATGTTATCTGGATTAATCATCCACAAGGGTCAAGTCAGCTAAGTAACTCTAGTTCAGCTTAATCTCTGTGGAGGCAGAATTAGTCTTTTACACTCAAGTTCCTTGCCCCAGACCCATACATTTCTGTCTCTTTCTCTCTTTGTCTCTCTCTTTCTTCCTTCATTCCTTCCTTTCTTTCTTTCCTTCTCTCACTCTTTCATTTTTTTCTTTTTTGACATGGGGTCTTGCTCTGTTGCCCAGTCTGGTGTGCAGTGGCACAATCTCAGCTCACTGCAACCTCCGCCTCCTGGGTTCAAGCGATTCTCCTGCCTCAGCCTCCCAAGTACCTGAGATTACAGGCACATGTCACCATGACTGGCTAATTTTTGTATTTTTAGTAGAGATGGAGTTTCGCCATGTTGGCCAGGCTGGTCTCAAACTCCTGACCTCAAGTGATCCATCCGCCTCAGCCTCCCAAAGTGCTGGGATTCCAGGTATGAGCCACCATGCCCGGACTGTTTCTTTCTTAACCTCTTACTTTCTCATGTTTGAGTTACCTTGTAGGTTTCCAAGGCAGAGGGGACAAGATGGAAAAGGAGAACACAGAAATCTAGCCTGGAGGAGCTGCTCTGTTCCTGTATTTATCTGTGTAGGTGTGAATGAGAGAGAAAATGACAAGAGAATTGCATTATTTAAAGCTGTTTTTTCCCCTGATCATTTTCTTTTTGGGAAATGATTGCCCAATACTGAAAGGCATGTCCTTCAAAATGTTCGTGTTTCAAATGGCTTCCTAATTACCTAGTGATATGGGGGGTATGTATGGTTATCTGGAGTTACATGCTGGTGGTGTGGGGTGTCCAGGGAGAGGAAAGGAAGAGCAGTCCTGGTGACTCAAACCCTGAAGGATGTGTGGGGGATGGGTAGGAATGTGAACAGACATGCTGGAAGCTGAATCCGCGCAGTGACACCCATGCCTGTAGCCATCTCAGCAGGGGGTTCTTCTAAGAACCAGCTTTGACTAATGATATTTGAATGCTAGTTAGCTTTTTAGCACTCCCATGCCTAAAGCCTCTGAGAGAAGCAAGACTCCCACCCCTGCAAAAAAAAAAAAAAAAAAAAAAAAAAAAAAAAAAAAAAAAAAAAAGAAAAATATCCATGGCTTTTATGCATTCCAACAGATCTCTTAAGGGGCAGATGTCCAGAGAGCCAGGTATGCCAGAGACCTATGGCAGCAGTGCTAAAGGTGCCTGCTTCAGCCTCTCCAGTGCCGGGAGAGACCTCTAGATGGTGCAGGTGAGTTTGCAATGAGGGAAAGCCCCTCCGCACGGGCTGAGTTTCCAAACTTGAAGACGGGACAGGGAGCAGTCAAGGAAGAGTTCCCGGGAAGCCCTTTAAACTGAAAGGAAAGGAAGCGAGGCTGGTGGCAGAGAGGTGTGCCAGGTCCCAGGCAGCCCTGACGGCCTCTGGGGACATAGAGTACCTGTTTCTGAGAGCGCTGCCAGGGTAGCCACCTGTGAAGCCTGTCACCCAGGACTGCTTGGTGCCTGGCTTTCTTCATAGACCCGCCCTCTTCTGGGACTGAAGCTGACCTCCAGCAGGAGCCAGGTAAGCCTTGGTCCTTTCCTCTGGTTTTCTAAACTCTTCAGCCGTGGCTGAGACCGAGGTGTCAGGGGCTGGGAGACAGGCTGGGTGCATTTTTGAAATGCATGTCATTTTTGGGTTGCGTTTGAACAAGCTTTACCGATTGCAGTATGTCTGCCCTACCAGTTCTAAGACCTGAGATTGTTCCTTTGTTTCCAGGAAAACATCAGAAACCCTGTTTTGCTGTTGTTTGCACAATTGGTTAGGGAGCCAAATTCTGTGTGTTTCACAGGCTGTAAGATTTGGGCTACTAAAGCAATGGGTTCCTCCAGGGAGCATGAAAACTATGTTCAGGTTTGTGCTGGCTTACTGGGGAAGGCAGGCGCAGCTGGGAATCTAGCTGGGCTCTGTACCTGCCTCCAACCCGGCATACCCGCTGTGCCTTAAGAGACCTTCCAAGTGAGGTTTCCAATCAAGTCTGAGATCTTCCATACCCTGGCTTCTGTGTTGGTGGGGGAAGCAGGGAGAGGAAGAGAAGGAGGGAGTGGGTACCTATTTGTGATGATTGAGGTTTTTATTTCCAGCCAAGAGGTTCCTCTCAACACTCTGACAGACAGTGGGGCAGTTTGGGCTCCTAGACAGGAGCGGGCTCCGATTCCCAGCCTCCTCCGGCAGCAGCCAAACTTTGAGATGTCAGCTCAGGGAGAAGAGGGTGACTGAACAGGGAGGACAGCAGGCAAGGTCCCCGCTGGGTTTCGCTGCCCATGTTGTGCTGAGTCAGCAGCAAGAGGGACAGTTAAAATCTACAAGCAGGGCAGATGCTGGTCAGTCGGGAATCCCAAACAGCCAGGGGCACATGCATATGAGGAGACTTTCGGAGAGACAGGAGCTCTGCAGTCCTCTTCCCTGGTCCCCAGGCCACTGCTCTGTGGCTCTCAAGTGGCATTTTTGCAACACTTTCTAAGCAAGCATGAAACTGTAACAAAGAGGTGAAGAACCATAATAGACTGAAGGAGAAAAGGCATCCAGCCCTCTAAGAATATTTCTTGCCTGGCTTGATACTCTGAGGTTTCTAAGACATAGCCACCTAAAATGTTTAAAGATACATTTTGACAGAGGCTACCAAAAAGAGAGTGACTCTGGTCAAGGTTGGGAAATAAGCATTGGTTCCAGTGATGGTCCACATGTACCCTTCACAGCTGGGAAAGTTTGGGGGTCCTGGTGGTGATCGGAGGGAGTCTCTGCTCTACCCCTCCCCACCCCTAAATGGGCCAGGCTGTGCTGTGGGAGGATTAATTTGTGACAGCACAGTTGGAGGATAATCTTGGAAAGACCGGTCTTTGGGAGGAATAAGTAAACAAAATTTTCCTGAAATGCTTGATTTTCACTCCCTGGCCACTACCTGGTTTCTTGCTTTTGTAAAAGCTGGACTTTCATGTTGTTGGGGATACATGTTTGTGACGTGCGGAAGTGTCAGGGGCTCATCTCTGTTTCTCAGGTGTCGTGGTACCCTCATCCCTAATCCAGTGTCTGCCGTTGGGCGGCAGCCCGGCATTGCTCGGGAGTACAGACAGACCTGTCCTACCCCATCTCCCAGAGCACAAAACCGACTTGCCTCTGTTAAAACGGGAGCCTCTTCTAGTCAAAGTTCCTCAGATCCCATAGGCCCGCAGTCGGAAGCTGGGTTACGTGACTCTCCCTTCTGGGTCCAGGTGAGTGCATTTTGTGGTTTCCAAAGAATAGAATTTATTCCCAAGGAAATGCCCAGGAAGCCAGCTTCAAAGACTCAAGCAAATCTGAAATTCAAATACAAGAGCTCTAAACAGGATGGTGTTTGGCAGACAGCCTTGCTGCTTAAGGGGCTCAGCCTCTCAGCTGGGCTCAGTTTCCCCTCACCCTCCTCCTAGTCTGTCTAGTTGCTGCCTGCATGCCTCAATTATCCTGGATGACACCTGCCTGCTCGTTTCGTTGATACTGTTTGAGGCTCTGCCTAGATATTCTACCCCAATAGTATCATTAATTAACTTACATTAAGCCCACTTAGCACATTAGATCAATTAGGAGACAAAAGCCCCAGCCAGCCCTGCCTGCGAGCATGCCGCCTCCATCTCAATGCCTACAATTCTGTTCTTACTGAATTCGTACATTGCAGGAAGGAATTTTTTTTTAATCTCCAAGGTTACTATTTTCCTAAAAAATAAAGCAAGGAAATATAAGCTGATGCCCAGTCATTTAACCTTTGCTGTACATTTCTATAGCACTTTACAAAGCATTTTCGTGAATGTCTTCTCTATTTTCCCAATAAGAAAATTGAGGCTCAGAGAGGTTCACTAACTTGCCCAAAGTCACACAGCTCAAAATGTTTATAGGAACACAAGACCTGGTCTAGGTTAGCACTCAGAATGCCCAGGCCTTGTGCGGAGCCTATCACTTGTAATCGAAGGGCCTAAGAGGAGAATCTGTGTCCTCTGCCTCCAACACTGGCACATTTGCTCCCACAGGGAGATAGTGCAATGACAACCACCAGGGATTATTAAAATAAGGGTAGAGTGAGCAAACACTCCCCTTCCTGTATCTTAGTTTCCCAGGGTCGTGTCAGCCCCAGACACACATGCTCTGTCCTCAGAGGCGAGGGATCAAAAAGAAACAATCTCAGTTGTGTTCTTTGTGAACCCTCCTGATAAAGGTTTGGTAATACAGGAGATATTAGAGTGTTTGTAGTTGTTATATAGTGAAAAGCTGTCAAATAGTTTTATCCTGTAGGTGGTTCGATCTAAGGTAGTCTAGTAACTAAAACAAAATTTCAAAATGGAATTTGGGGCTCAGGCATCCCAACAGCCCACTGGCCCCGAAGAAAAATGAGCTCGACTGTATTTACTTTTTCATCATTTTCCTTAGAGTGTCATAAAGCATTACTCAAGGATAGCTAACCCACACAGTCAAAGCTAAGGAAAAAGCTTTGCCCTGGCTCTTTCCAGGGATTGATCATTCATTAGGTCATGTATTAAGGGAGCCTACAACCTGAAGTGTCTTCAGTCATAGCACACCCCAAGCACATCATGCACTCCATGAAAATATATCCAATGAATGAATGAATGAATGAATGAGCTCCTTCATCTTTCTTGTCAGAGAAATGTCACCAATTGTTCTAACCACACAGTAGGGAACAAGGGGTTTGCTCAAACATTAGCATACCCTAAGTCAATAAGCGAACAAATCCCATTTGGCAAGGCTACCATCTCTGGGGGCAGAGACACCTGTTATTTCTCAAATGCTAGATGCTTGAGGGTGGCAGCACACTGCTTGGACCCCAGGAAGGAGCAAGCACATGTGGGTGAAGCTGGGGGCCCTGCTCCTTTGCCCAGATCTCCTTGCCCAGGCACACTCTGGAAGTGCCCATCATTTTATACACCTACATACACATGTAACCAACCAGGAGGCCTTTGTTTTCCATTTCTGACAAAATAGAGGACCATGGAAAACAGATGGGCCAAAAGGAGACCCACAGAGGAAGATGCACCTGTGCCAATCGCCCTGGCTGCACCACCCTGAGCTCATGCCAGCTCAACTCACTTCACAGTAAATCAGACCGACTGCTCCAAACATAGCAGGAAGGCACCTCCACTTGTGAGTCGGGATGAAATCAGCAATGAGGGCAATAACAACCACAGTCACGTTACTCTTACTAACAGCCCTCAGGCCCAAGGTGCAGTGCAAAAGCCAAGCTTGTCAGTGGGCTTAAGGCTGACATTGCTAACTGATACCATTCAACGGCTAGATACAGGCAACTAAAAGATGAGCACAAATACTGAAATAAGATACAGTATTAGTCTCCTGAAAACAAAAAAGAGTTGATTCCACCAACAACACCTTAATCCTGAGAGAAAGCGCTTTCTTCGGATAGAAGAAAGATATGCAAAACCAGACTGCAAGAAAAAAATGAGAGGGCATGCACTGTTTTGACGACTCTCCGATCGTTACCAAATCTCTTCTCTTAAAAATTCCATTTGCTGGGCCAGGCACGGTGGCTCACACCTGTAATCCCAGCACTTTGGGAGGCCGAGGCAGGTGGATCACACAAGGCTGAGGTCAGGAATTCGAGACCAGCCTGGCCAACATGGTGAGACTCTGTCTCTACTAATATACAAAAACTAGCTGGATGTGGTAGTGCGCGCTTGTAATCTCAGCTACTCAGGGAAGGCAGGAGAATCACTTGAACCTGGGAGGCGGTGGTTGCAGTGAGCTGAGATCACGCTATTGCACTCCAACCTGGGCAACAGAGTGAGACTCCAACTCAAAAAAAAAAACACAAAACCTTCCATTTGCCATATTTCCAATCCCATATTTGCACGGAATCCTGAATACACAGGAGGAAGCAGGGAGGATTTCAAGTTGACTTTAGCACACATTCATTCATTCAGCAGATGTTTTCTGTGTGTCTGCTACATGCCAGGCACGAGGCTGGGATGTAGTCACACGGTGGTCCCATGGGTGAGGAGAGAGAACATACCTGAACTCACAGAGCTTAGGTTCTGCTGCAAGGAGAGAAGCCATAATGGACAAATCCAGCTCCACGAAAAAAAAAAATCAGCAAGGCAGGCAGAAAGAAGTGTCCAGGGTGGGAGTGGGAGCTTCTTGGGAAATGAAATAGTCGAGTAAAGACCTAGATGAAGTGAGGAAGTGAACCAGGACACCCACAAGAAAGGACACCCTGGGGTGGGGTCAGCTGGAGATGTCCCCGCACCAGCAGGAAGGCCATGCTGCTGGAGCAGAGGGGAAGGAGGGAAGAACAGGAGGAGAGGAGAACCAGGAGCATGAGCGGGCCATGGCAAGGGAGCTGGGCTCTCATTGAGTGTGAAGGGAAGGCAAATAGAAGTCAAGTCAGGGCAGACGTTCAGCCATGGTGGCTCATGCCCTGTGTTGTTCTGGGACAGTCAGTGCCACATCACCCCATCCCATGCCATGCTTGGTTCTGTATTCTGAGTATCTGCTCCTAAGGAGCTGGATCTCCAGGTAGCCTCTTC